ATCTGGCTTGTTGTTCGTACATCTTTCCTAATGATCAGTAGATTGTCTCAGTCGATTTCATATCCCAAGTCTAGCGCGTGTGCAGCTACAACCGGATCTTTTAGTAAGGACCTGTATTCAGGTTCGTTTCTTGGTGAAGACAAAAGGTGCTTTTTTCAAGCTGCTATCCTTGAACGTAGTCTTCTCGCCATTTGGTCTACGTACACATGTGCACAGTCTGCAACTAATCTTTCAGGCGCAATTAGTTGTCCTAGTTTTCGAAAGTGGCTTCTTCAAACGGACCAGCGGGGAACAGAATGTTTCAGCACTCTGAAAAATCACCTTTATCTTTCCATTGTTTACCACACGCCTGGTCGCTTCAGAAGTTTCCTCTCCATAAGCGATTCCTACCGTTCACTTTAATCCGTCGACCGTTCAGTAAGATGGCGCTTGGGCTCACTAACAATGGCGTTTCATTAACCGTCTCGTATATCGACTATCACTTAATTTGTTTTTGGTTCCTTCCTGGTGACCGTCCTGTCCTTTTTCTCTATGCGTAGAAGTTGGGTCCCGTAAAACAGAGAGGATGCAATCACAGCATAGACGTGTTTCGGATTGCCCGAACTATAATGGAGTGCTCCATCTGTAGCAGTTATTGCACGATATGTACTTTAGCGATCCTACATTATGTTTACTGAACAATCAAGCAATGGTATGGTATCCCCGTAAGATCCTAGTTCCGTAGGGAATTTCATATTATAATTAAGTGGATTTGTATCTTTTATAAGCTCCTTTTTATCCCGCGTTAAAATACCTAGCGTCAATAAGTCTTTGGCGAATTAATGCAGTTTGTCATGGTCCACCTTTCAAAGTCCTCCAAATACAAACTTTCAGATACGGAAGATAATGCCGACTCCATGACAATTCTCCTTTCCTGAGCCTATAGCCACGAATGCAGAATAAAATCTATGATACAAAGACATACTATGATTCCTTTAATTAGTTTGTCGACTGAGTTTTATACTTTCCCCAGGCTAATCTCCTCGGATAGACGGAACTGTGCTACCCCAATGGACGCAGTAGTGAATAGTGAGCCGAGGTTGAAAGCAAACATTATTTCGTCTGACGCGATGAACAGACATGCAGCCTTTCGAGCGAACATAAAGATTTATTTACATAAGCGTTTGTTTTCCAGGTTAGAGGCTTCAACAAACTTGTCGTATATCTGGCTACTTCGTAGATCGGAGAACCGGTACCATCCACGATGGGCCGAATGGGTAAGTCGGGCTGATATAAATTATGTAGCCCATGAATTCTCAGCGGAAGAGTTGAGTTAGGATGTATGTTTTACGATTCTACCGATCCTATGCTGTCCCTCATACTCCTGAGGCTGTTGCTGACCTTTGATTTATGCATATTAATTACCGATGATTCAGTGTTCTCCTCAATCCCTTTGTAAGGCGCTGTGGTCAAATGTTCCTCCAGTTCTTCGCATAAGTCAACCTACTGTTTATCACTGTGGCCTTGCCTTTATTGGCTGTTGTGGCAATGATTGTAGGGTCTTTCCTCAAGGCTTTTAACGCGATATGCTCTGCTGTTGTAATATTTCACTCCCCAGGTAGTTCCAATCTGAGTAGGTTTATTGTCTGTACACAAACATTCTCAGTTGCTGAGAGGGGTGATTTAGCCACCACGATTTCAATGATAGGAAGGACTACTTAAATAACTGAATAAATATTTTTATTCTGGACTACGCGAAGCACGCCTTTAATAGCATGATCATAGTACCAGTACAACAATTGATCAAGTAGTATGCAGTAGTATAATAGGGTTTTCATATATGTGGATACATAAATGTCTGCAGATGGTTATGTAGGTGTGCTGCTGCTTTTTTGACTGTGTTTGATCACGCCACTAGTGTCTAAAGGAATGTTTGACGTCTATGGATTTGATAAGATTGTTCGAGTAAGCAAAGGCAGTGACTTTAGTTGGTGGCGAGTCACAGTTGCCACGTCGCAGTGTTGTTAAACAGACCTTTGTGGCTTTTTATGAGGACAACGCTTGCCAGGCGATAACCCACAACGTCCTGGAACACTGCCGCCGAACTGTTTGCTGGAACGGGTTAAACCCGAAACATCCAGCTGGCACCAAGAGAAGGTTGTTCCGTTAGACACCACTTATGTCCGATCCGTTATAAAAAATAAAATCCTTTCCAATAATCTACGTTCTTTTTGACCCAACATCTAGTCTGAGATCTTAACTGCACAGCACCAGCTTTTGCTAGATTCAGGCCCCTCAGTGAGACTGGTACTCCTGGTAGATACAGATCCGAAATAATCGAACTTACGAATTTGTCTTTCTTTTGTACCCTTCTCGGGCTTTGACTCAACTTCTGAGGCTTTGTTTTAAATTCTCTCTTAGTCTGTACGTATCAACAACCTGAGGATCCCAGTTCAGCTGATGGACATAAAGCCGGATTTCATTCTAGCATCTGGTTGTCAGATAAATCCGCTGTCTTAAGAATATTCTACATGTTTTGGGGGGCCACTGTGGCAGGTGTGTAAGAGTTTTCCGGCTGTATGACCACTAGGCTTCCAGGAATAATCCCACCTTTTAAACATCGTGTATTGAGGTCTCGGTGATTTTCCCAACTCGCTTCAACGTCAGTCAATTACACGAATTCAGTCATCAAATTCGGAACGCTTGGTCCGCAAAGTAATCCCGTATATTAGAATAAACTTGGAACCGACTGAGACTTCATAATTTCGGAAGTGCGCCGATTTGCATCGGTCGGATAGTGGAATGTGTACCGTAACTTACTGTACACTGCTACTAGTACTGTCGTTTCCTTCAACGCTCCCAGGATGCTATGAAACTTATGCCTCTTACGAATGACTGGGCCACAAGAAATTCAACTCTACTTGGCCAAAATGGACTGAAGAACGAAAGGCCAAATCCTTTGTTGCGGTCTAGTCGGATGGGCACAATAGCTACAGTGGTTGATAGTGACAAGGGCACGTTGCTGTTCTGGGTCTGTGTGCGTAGGTGTTGGCGATTCATGGATTATCTCTTTCATCCCTCACAAACTGTGTGCTCTGGAATCCGAATGGATGTTGCACTAGCCAACGGATGTGGAGCATACGTATGATTTCGCTTTTATGCACATACGGTTTGACAGATTCATGATGAGGCGTTAAGTTTGCTAAAGAGCATTCACCTTGTATAATATGTCAGTTTAAGTAAATGTCACTTTTAGTCTAATGTAATGTCGACTGGTTGCACACGAACCTCGCTGTTGTCGCTGACATACTTAAGTGTGTAAGTCCACTGATTAACTACTTGGTATAATGCAAACACAAACTAATAAGTTAAAGCGACTAGTTCCCTTCAAAAATCTGCAAAGCGCGGAAAGAAGACGAACACTGGTAGATGCATGCATTTCGTTTGGCAGTCTTAAGCAGACAAAAATGTTTTTGAACACACTGAGCTGACTACATCCGCCTTATTGCGACCGCCTCAGCAATCCGGAGGGAGCGTGGATTAGCTTGACGCAACATGTATTGGTCTCTGGTCACCGGATGGACCAGAGCTCAGCGTTCACATTTGTGTTGCGTCACTCTAATCCACCTTTCCTTCGGTTTGCTGATGTGGTCGAAATAAGCCGGATGAAGTCAGCTCTGTGTGCTCAAAAACAATTATTTATCAAGTTAAAACTGCCATGGACATAAGAGTGAACTTTCGTCACTCACTATGCAGGCCATGCATTTATGGTCCCACCGGAATTTAGCTATATCTAGGCATATCAGTTACTTTAATGGTACTGAAGAGATACTACAAAATGCACGCATCTACCAACGTTCGTCTTCTTCCCGCGCTTTTCAAACTAATGATTGTCAGATGTCACCTTCTCTATTACACTCTAGTACAGGTTTCGTATTTTGTATTCCTCAGCTGAATGTAATCGGATTAGGAAATTAGCCTGAAGTGTAGAGGCTAAATGATTGAGTATTTAACCTCACACCATGGAGACCTAGAGAGAGCTCGTCTCACAGCTGCTTGTGAAACATGGTATTTTCTATTTAAAGCGCCTATTGTGTGAAAGGTTTGCAATACCTTATCTCAATATGAACAGTGATTTGCGTAGAAGGGACCTCAGTCAATTCTGTCAAGGAAATCGCAGCTGAAGCGGCCATGGAGAGCAAGCTTGAGGGCGGAAACCGCATGGCACGTAGATTTCTCAAGCATACGTGACTCAGGTTACATAAATAGTTAGTGCAGCATGAACCGTCGATTCTGTGGGTGTATGTCGAGCAAGCCGGAAAACTGCATGCCCTCTAACCACCTATACATGCTGGGAATTGCGCCAGTTTGAGGCGCTTCACCGGTTGACTTTCACTTGAAGCCATCGTTTTGGACAATGGACATCAGCTGATTGAAATGACCATTCATGCACAGACAGTTGTCTTTAGCTGAATCCAGTTAGTTGAAGACGGAAAGCGACGGGAATCCATTCCATCTCGCTCGATTCGCAGTATTCGCATGGGCTGCATACAACACGGGACTATGGTCGTGTACAACTAAGGATATTATTGACCGAGAGCTGCTTTCCATTCCCTAATTTAACACTTACTATATGTGCTGCACTCTTCCCCCATTTGCATGAAAATACACTAGTCCCCTCAGTACAAACAAATCTTTACTCTAATCAGTTTGACGATGCTTACTCCTTTAGGGACAACACGCTTATCATATAAATTGCTGTAAATCATGATTCTTCAGTTTGGCTAACGGTTTAACACTGCGGTGGAATAATAGTTCGATAGCGTAATGACTGTTTTAATTCATCACCATCAAAGAACGATAGAGCCCATCATCTGATCTGAGACTAAACCAACGCTTATGCCCTAAGTTATTTCTCCAAACTGATCAAATTCGTTCTACAAATGCGCAGCGTGAAAACAATGATAATTTTTATGCCACCGTAGATCTTTGAGCAATGGGTCGAAAATCGAAACACGTACTTGCCAAGTAATCACTATCCATCCTGTCGGATGGGATACTGCTCGCAGTTGTCCATAATTGATAGCTCAGGCGGATACAATGATGTCCATTTCGAAGAGGTTTCACATGCACCAGAACTGCTAGACTTGATGCACCCGCAATCCACCCATGTGTGGGCATCAAGGTGATGTCAGCGAGTGCATGCGGCACGAGCGTCTTGGACTGCATTTCACGATTTACTTCAGCACAAATGGAGAAATAGCTTGAAGCCTGTAAGTTAGAGAAATATGCCCTAATGACAACGTTCCGTGAATTCCGTTGATAGTAAGAAAACACCCACTAGAACATACCCGACTTGGGTTGCGTAGGAGTAGTTGGTACATCCCGCTGCAGTTGACCATGAGGGCACCACAATCGTAAACTTGGGGCTCCATACTGAGAGACACCGGGCATGCCATCGCAACTATTTGTATACCTAATGTTCGTGGGCTATTTCTCCGTTGTGTAGAAGAGACGCGTTTGTATACCAGCTTTGGAGAGAACACTCGTTCACAGGTCGCCGCAGGAGTGAATCTCCAAATATGACACTGCGCAAGGAAGAAACCAGTAAATCAAGATGAATTTAAGCGGAGAAGGTCACTGTGTTATCTATGACTTTAACATGAACTATTTCCAGTGCCACAGTCATCTTGATGGAAACAAACAATCAGCTGACACCGTCAAAAGGATTAATGAAAAAACATGGATCAACTGGAAGAATAACGGGCTAGACTGAAAATTCGGCCTACGTGATAGCAGTGTATAAAAAGGTAGATGTTCAATTTTCATGTCCCTCTTTCAAAAATGGTCTCCTCGCTACACTTTTTCAGCGTAGCCACTGTACGCTTTTTGAAATCAGAATTGTTATCTTTATTTAGCGAACCACCCAACATGAAATTATTTTATACGATTCACAATTCCAGAAACAATGTCCGCTTTTAATGGCTCTCGAGCTAAAACCCACGCGCAAGAGATTATCGCTTTTCAACCGAATCCTCCTTTGTGTGACCTCGTTAGGCGCATAAACCTTGTGGTTATCCAATGATTCCAAACTCATTGAAATGCGATGTCCCTCAGGAATGCTTTACAGGAGTTGGTGCTCGTTTGTTCTGCGCACGCCATCTGCGTTCAGCTTCAGGAACAGGCTCCTGCGCAGGCAAAGTTGGCACTTATGGACTCCCTGACTAACACAGTGCGGGTGTTTGCTTTACCGATTGCTTCAGCTGAGTGACCGCTCACGAATTTGACACGATGATTCGTGTCCACCATTGACAAAATCCCTAAAAATTGGATGGTAAACTGCGCGTACAACCAGCGGGGAACCACAAAAAGTACGTCGACTATGGCAAAGATGCACCTCAGGGTAAATGCCATTTATATGTTAATGTCATTAAGACTGGACTGATGAGATTTCACTCTTTATGAGGAGTTTTCAGAAAGAAACCGAACCTCTGCTATAACGTCTTTATTGCTCATTGAACAAGATGTTAAGCACTTTCCTCTTAAAGTGGTCCCCTCTACTGACACTACACGGTTCCTAACGGTGATTCTATTTTGGAAAGCCTCCTGGAACGCAATTCTAGAATGGCGCGCAGGTCTCATGTCGCATTGTCCTGAGTCTCTTCTATGGTTTGGAAAGGATGCTCTTTCAACGTGATATTAAAATTGGGAAATAGGAAATAATGTTCAGGGGATAGGTCTTGAAAATACGGGGGCTGGGGCACAACGGGAGTGTGATATTTTGTTAGATAGCTGCGAACAAGCAGCGATGCGTGAGTCGGCGCATTGCCATCATGAAACATCCAAGTCAGGTTTTCCCAGTTTAAACCGCTTTCTACGCACAGCATCCCTCAAACGCGCTAGGATTTGATGGCATGATCCAACGCTGATGCTCACTTTTTCAGCCACTTCTCGAACAGCTAAACGACGATTTCCCAAGATGACAGCAAGTATTCTATAGCCATGCTTATCCTCTGTTAATGTGGAACGTCGCCCAGGTTCGGTATTGTCACCGACCGATATTCTGCTGTGTACAAACCACTTAAACCACTAATAGAATTGCGTGCGACTCATACAGTCCTCCACGTACGTTTGAGATAAGCAATTGAAATGTCTTTTTAAAAGTTTTACCAAGTTTATAGCTTCATTTCACGCACGCGTTGTTTTTTAAGCTTTTTCATTTTCTTATTGGCACTAATCCTACGAACAGTTTGTGCACGTTCTCACTTCAGCGGTTGTAACTCCCCAACCAACAGCTAGAGCAAAGTGCGGCAAATGGCACTTCGCTGGATATGCAAGCCACCACATGCGCTCAGTAGCCGCAGCGCGCTCCCTCTGCCGGTTGCCACGCTACTTCAAATGTTCGGTTCCTTTTAAGGCACCCCTCGTATGTGGGGCCAACTCCACTTGAACCGAGGAAGCACGGCAGCATAACTGAGGCGTTTTGCTTCTACTAGGTATGCAAAGACCATCCCGCTTGTTAACTGTTGTACTCTGCTAATAAAATGTATGGAGGACTAAGGGAAGCAGTTGAGGAACTGTTGAGCGTCAGGTTTACACCTCTGGTAGTAACCGAAATCACTTGTATCTCAACGAACCAATATAAATTTCCAATACTGGCCAGACGGCCTAACCATACCTCAGCTGCTCAATCTCTAGCGTCTCAACACAAGTTGTTCTCCTGAGTGGGCAAGCCGTTTACAGCTTGTCTGCTTCCACTCGCTGCTAGATGTTGCACTAATTGAATCATTTGCCATACGGGATAACCAAAGCTCAAGCCAGTTCACAGTAAAAATTAACTGGACAAAATAGGCATCGTGCGCCTTCAGGAAGATACGGGAAAAATACCCGCAACTCCACTTACAAGTCTGTGCAGAACCAAGGTGTCCCAGCGTGGATTGCTACCACTGTCTACTAGTCCACAGAAAACAACAGAACGTGGCGGTCTTAAGCCGATAGCCACAAGACGCAACCATAGTTTCTAAGCCATATTTGTTCCAACGTTCCTTAATCCAACTCTAATACGATGAAAAGTAAGCAGCTAAACGAGCGTAATCAGCGGGATATCATCTACCCAGACATTGGCAACCAGGCTAAACTATCACAATGTACGGCGCGTCACCTAACCTCAATAAACAATTTAGAGTCTCACTTATTTTTAGTAGCAGTAATTTTTGCGGATGAGATAGTGGCCATTCTGCTGTCATTGCATCTACTAAGTAGCACATTAAGTTGAGTGCGGATATACTATGAAGTGAAAATTTATTGGATACGAACAACCGAGAAAGAAGTCGTATTCACAGCGATAAGAAAAACCTCATTAGTTATGGATCTCAAGATTTCTCTTTCGACAAAGAACAGGCACATGATCAAGAGCAAAAGCGCTACTTTCATGAGTGATACTCACCAGAAAATGTCATTGATACTTTGCTGACAAGCATCTTGGTGTAGCCTAATTATAAAGAATGTGATCCTAGGCCGCTGGACTTGGCTTTGCGGTGAGCTAGCAGCACAGAACCACGTTGAAAACTAGGTCAGATTCCGGTCAAGGTTACCAAAGGAAATTCGACTATATGCAGCAGGGACAAAATCACAGGCTACTGCTTACCTAACGCGGCGGCAAACTCGGTGAAAATATTCGTTGTAAAGTCCGGCGTAACGCACGATCTACCAAGAGTCATAACATCTGGATAGACAGAGACTGAGACTGAAGTTAAGAGCAAGTAGAAAAGTCTCCGTATCGAATTATTAAAAATCAAAAATATTTAACGGCGAATCTTCAGCGATAATGTTTGGTCAGTTACTCGGTTATCCTTGTTCAGTTAGGAATTTGTATTGGTGTCATTATTTCCAGGTATAGGATGCAATTTTTTCGATTGTATGTGCATCGTTTCACAAAAACCCAGGCTTCCGAAATAATAGTCGATGCGTGTTTTAAAACACTTCACAGAAACGGCCTCTGTTAGTCTTTCTGGTAGTGTATTCCATAAGTTTACAATGCTTTGTTCTATACAAAGCTGATGTGATACCTTATTCATACAGGGGACCCTGAGTGTTACAGGGTTTCCGTAGGTGAAATATTGTCCGTAATATGGGGAAATGATTCAAGTATAGTATTCGATGGGTCATAATAAGGTCAATTCTTACGCGGCTGTAGGATAGTGTCTAGAGTCCGAGCCTTTCACAACGTTTTTCATATGGAAGCTTTCGTAGACTTGATATTATTCTAGTTGTGATGTGCTGTATTTTCGCCAGCTTTTCAATTTCCCACTGGGTTATCGGATGATAAGCTGGGGCGCCGTATTCAAGGATTGGTCTAATGTGTGAGGTGAATAGGTGAGGAACGGTTTCTTTGGACCATGTTGAGAAACTTCGTCGTAATGCCTAGAGCATACAAAGTCCCTCAAGGTACAATGTATCTGTCTTTTCTAGCGATCGCATATCATGTCGCGAGAGCAATCCTATGTGTCTGACAAATATGTTAGAGTGGAGTAATTGGCCGTCCAAGTATATGATCGAATGCGTGGACGTCTAGTTAAGCTGATGAACTCCGGCTTGCTTGGATTAAGAGGGAGTTGTATTTCAGTGGAACAAGTTGACAGTCGATCTAAGTTCTTCTGGAGGCGAATGAAATTGTCCCGGTTCTCAATGATCCTCAAGATTTTTAAATCATCTGCAAACAGGGCACATGGTGACTGCATCTGCTGCGGGAGATCGTCGATACGAAGAAAAGATAATACTAGTCCAACTATAATTCCTTGAGACACGCCACTGGTCGATGGGAACCAGTCTGTCAGGTAGTCATTGACTTGTACTCTAAACTTTTGTCCCACAATAAACTCGTGTAACCACTGAAGTAACGTGCCACCGATTCCGTATGTCCTCAGTTTACCAAAGAGTACCTCGTGGTTCACTGTCAAACGCCTTACTAAAGTCGATGTACACCACGTCAACATCCTTCCGTTCGTTGAGTGCTCGTACCCACTGGTGGTTTGCGTATATTAAGTTGGTGATGTAGGATTGCCCTTTCTTAAAGCCGTGTTACGCTAACGTTACTACGTCCATCGATGCGCAGAATGACAGTAGAGAATTTTTCACAACCTTCTAGAGAACTTTGGATAATATCAAAGTTTAACATATCGGTCTGTAGTTCTCTGTTTTACTCGGATCGCCACCTTTTGGAAGCGGTCACACTATTGCGCATTTTCAGTTGTTGGGGACAGATTCTTCAGACAGTGATTTATTGAATAAGTTTGTCACGGTTGGTGAGATGACATTCGATAGGGACTTGAGTATTAGGGAGTTAAGTCCGTCTGGTCCGGGGGCTTTGCACCACCGAGGTTGACAAGTACCTGATACACTTCGGCAACATCACATTGTAGGCTGTCGAGCGAGACTGGTGCAACCTGTGCCGGTACTG